GCAAATTGAGACATGTAGTCACCCTATTGGCTTGTGTTTCTATTTCTCGTTTTAGGAAGATGTTTACTTTAAATATTGTTTCATTATCCCTTATTTTTGGTTAATATCTATCACCATTTGCTCTGAATTATTCTTTAAATTGGGTTTTAATTTAAAAAGTCCATCGTTAGTTACGTGACTTCAAGATATTTTTAAAAGAATTCTTTTGCCTCTGAGTTTTTTGACCTAAAGATTATTTCAAAGGGCATATATAAAGAGCCTAGCACATGGTATTGTCTCAGAGGAAAAAAAAAGTGACTTACTTCCCTTAATTAGATAGAAAAGTGTTCTTGGTTTATCAAACTTTCAAAGATAGTTGGGAAAGTAGATCTGAGAGCATTATAACCGTGTGTGTGTGTGTGTGTGTCTGTGTGTTTGTGTGACATTTGTTCTGCAGTTCCTTTTTGTTTTATTAAATACAATATCCATATTGGTATTGAGACATGTCTTTTATATTGTTCCACTTTTTTAGGTGCTATCTGATATTAAAGTCTTCCCTCAAGGATCTATCTGGATCTGTCTGGGTGTGGTGGCAGTTTTGAGGTTTGGAAACCTTTATGGGGTTCAAAATCATGCTTTGTATCATGCATCTCTGGTGCCTTAAAAGCCAAGATCTTCATTTGTTTCATTTACAAGAAATAGAGAATTACTTCCTCTTTTTGAAACTCTCTGATCACTTGACTTCTATAGCATTGTAATATTTTTATTATCTATGTATTTCTTTAAATGTTCCTTTTTTCCCTTTCTTTTCCTCCTTCTTCTCCATCTTAGTGTACTTCTCTTCCTCTAGTCAACCTTAAACCTTGGTGTCTGACAGGGGTCCATTTTGGCCCTTTACTCTTCCTATCGGCATTCACTCTATGGGTGACCTCATGCACTGTCATGATTTCAGCAAAAACCTCTTGCTGATAGTCTCAGATCTATACATCTCTAGCCAACATTCCTGTAATCATCAGATCATCTATTTAATTCTCAAATAGGCATCTCTGCCCACATAGCACTTGGCTTACCTCTCTACCAATCTCATTTCCCTTTTTCCATTCTCTATTTCTTTAGATGACTCCATAAATATCATCATTGTCCAGCTGCTCAGCTTAGAAATCTGGGAATCATTTTTCTTTCTCGTTTAATCAAACCAAAATTCTACCAATTTGATTTATTACTATTTATTAATTATTCTTAATCTATAAAATCTATATTTTCTATCCATCTTTACTTTCCCTACCTTAGTCAGACCTTTTAATTTATTTTCTAGATCATGCATTAGCTCCCTAACTCTTCTCTGTGCTTTCAGTGTGTCTTTCTTCAATCCAGCCAAAGATTTGTTCATGCCATTCTCTTAAGTTCTTCAGTGGCTTCTTCTCCCCTTCGGGAAGAAGTCTTTGCTCCATATCATGGTACCCAAGACCATCCTTGATCTAGCCTTTGCCTGACCCATCTTCTTCTCTAGGCACAGCTTTTATCTCTTGTCACTTCTGACCACATATGTTATATGTTACTATCACAGAATTGCTTCCAGTTCTCTTTGCATGTGTGTGCACCCATACAAAGAAATGCACATCCACCACCACCACCACCACTGCTATGCTGTTTTCTAGGTTCTGTGCCCTTGGCCTGGAGGCATCTTTTTCTTCTCCTTTCTTTTTGACAACATCTCACACATCTTTTGCTCATGGAACTAGTACAGATGTCATCTACTCCAAGAAGCAAAAGGTTTTGCTAGCATTTTGTTAGGATTTCTTCACTCTATCCCATATACATATGCATATTTTTATCATATTGTGTGTTAATTTTCTGTTTTATATCAGTCTTACCCCACTAAATTGTGAGCTTCTTGACGTCATTAGCCATATTATTCCATATTTATGAAATTTCAATTTCTAATATAGTCTGGCACATATTAGATGCCCAAGACCTTTACTGAATGAATAAATGAATTTAAAAAATGAATACATTGATTCTAATATTTACTAACTCATAGTAATTATGTATTTGTTCATGTGTTATCTCATTTAATTAAAATGATTTGTGCATGTATATATAATAACATCAATATAAAACACATTTAATCCATATTAAGTTATTTTTTATATAATCCATTTGAATTCATGGCTCAATATCTTTAAGAATTTCAAGCAAGGAAGCAGAGTCCAAAATCTTCAAAAATAACTGAAAGAGAATCTTCAGTCTCTTGGAAAATATTCAAAAACATGCAAGTCACAAGCTCTAATAACTTTCCATATATTATCCTTAATTTCATTTCATCCTTAATTTTCTCACATCTCAAATTGTTCTAATCTACTAAATTCTCCTAAAATATTTTCTGGAGCACTTTTGTTTATCCCTGCTCCTCATTTCTTTTTTATTTAGATTTGTACTTGGGCAAAGAGAATCTTTCCTGTTTAATAAGGGGAGGGGAAGGGAACAACTGAGCAATAGAACACCAGCTTCTCTTTAGAAGATGGAGGCAGGGAGTTTACGGACAATTGCATCTGATGATTGTTGCCCAAGGACATATATATGTATGTTTGGATATGACATTTCTTTCTTTAGATTATTGGTCAATTCCTCTTTTATATTATTATGTGGAAGACATCTTTATCTGAATGTACCCTTCCACTGCAGGTGATTACATCGCCTCTTTAAAACAAAACACAACAAAACAAAAAACACTACTCTGAACATGTAGCCCTTTCAGCCATACCTATAATGCAAGTATATTTTACAGCCCTATTGGTTTGTTGAAAGGAAAAATCTTGGGCTCAGTACTTTTTCTCTCTTTGTAGTTTGTTCGTGGTTAGAGTCTATGTACTTCATGCTTTATACATTACCAACAGTTGTGTGATGAAAATCCAAGGAAAGCCTCTCTCAAAATAGTTTTGTTGCAAAGAGAAAATGGCACTTATGCACTTTGGTAGGAACTGTACTCTCGAGCCATGTTCAGTTTTGAAACTTGAAAGGAAAAATCCATTGCTTGGAGAAGCCAACCACACAGGATCCTGAGCTGAGTCTATTGTTAGAAGAAGAAAGAGGCACCGACAAGGCATAGAGCTCTGATGACCTCTGAGAGCTTGTGCATACTGTGTCTGGCAGGGGACCTCCCCTCAGCAATACATATGTTCAAGAAGAGGCCAAGCAGGAAACCCGCCCTTGGCAGAGTGTCTTTACATAACCAGAATTTGGCTTTATGTTAGCTTACTTACATGACAGTTTCACAAATTGAAAACAAAAAACAAAACAAAAAAATTTTACTCATTACATCAAAATATTCCTATAATTTCGGAATCCTTTATAGTTTGCGGTAGAGTGTTCTGCCTTAGTCAGGTCCTGAAGGCAGTGCCTAATCACCCAGTCCCCTGAACTTTATGTATAGTCAGTGTTTCTGTGTTCTCACTAGTGTCATGGGGTAGGGTGGGGTCTCGTTTTGCTTAGTTATTTTGGTAAAGACTACTCAGCCAGCCACATTTGAATCACAGTAGCTGGTTTAAAGCCTTTTGCATCAGTAACAATTGACAGGTGTTAAAGGAATGTTTGGCCGCATCACTAGTTATTTCTCAGTAATTCAGTATTGTGTTAAGTTGCCCCACCCCAACTGGGAAAATTTTTCTCTTTTCATACCCAGCTACCTCTGTAGTATGTGAGGCTGCCCCAGCATATCAGGGCTAGAATGAATATTTATGTTTGTCATGATTCAGGCTACCAGAGGTTCTAAGTGCAGTAAAGAAGGGCCGCTATAGTAGTAAGGTACCGCTCATGGGCCAACAATCTCTAACAGAAGGCAAGAGCTGTTTCTGAAAGTCTTGTCCAAAGCCTCCCTGTGACAGCCATTTTTGAGGGACGCATGTCCTCATAGGCCTGAGTCACTTTATTGAGTAACTCTTTTAGTTTCTTACAAGAATTTTTGCTTTTGGAGTGTAAGACAGGATGAATTCTAGGGTGCCCTGTCTCGTGGCACCAGAAATTGGTAGCTCTTCTTTCATTCAATCCATTTCCAGCCAGTGGAGCTCCTTAGCCCCTTCTCTATCTACCTTATGGTAATATATTTTCCAAGAGATTTATTTTTCTTTCCATGTCACTTGGCCTAAGGTAGAGCTACCCTAGGTCATCATGATAGATCTCCCCTATCAGGAGATCTTTTTCCTCTTCATCAGGAAGAAGAGGTCAGGGAATCAATCTGAGACCCTCCTTCCTGGAAGGCACCTGGATTTGTGAAAAATTTCTCCTTTTCCATCTCTGAACTCTTTATAGGAAGAGGAATGCTGACTCCATAAGTCAGACTGAAGGCCCTGTCATATCGTGTCTCCCAAGTGGCCCTCAGGGGTTTACAGTGACCCACTTCTATAGACAACTGGCAGAGTCTTTGACCTGAGGGGGGAAAGTATCATTTAAATACAGTGCACGTGCACACACACACACACACACACACACACAAAGGTATTTTATGATGCTTCACAAAAAAACAAAAGGTAGATTAGATCTAAATATGTCTTTATGCTAAGAACTAGTACTATGGTCTATTGAGAAGTATTAAAGACTCTTCTTCAGGAGGGTCCAAAAATGGAAAAAATCTTATTAGTGGGGCATAGTTTTGGTAGGGTTCTGTTATAGGGAAACTGAGTGGGAGAAATAGCTTCTGGGTCTTTGTAATCAAATATCTTGTTTGCTTTTTAAAGGCTAGCTGTTAGTTGCTTAGACTTGGGCTCTGAATCAGGTTTGGGAAGTGAGCTCCCAGTTTGGATTCTGCTGCCTTATTTGGTCAGCAGTAAATATCAGCATATAAATGAATCCTTCATAAGTCTGTGGGGAAATTTTAACTTCTGCACCACTGCAATTACCCATAATTTATATGAGGTTCTGATCATCACCCAAATCAATGAATAGCAAGGTATTCCCACATGCTGTAAGAATTTAGTTATATTTGAGTTATTGCACAAAGTTTATCGTTTGTTTTTATTCCGCAGCCTCCACCTCAGATTTACGACAAACAGTTGGACGAAAGAGAACACACCATTGAAGAATGGAAAGGTGACTCTACCACTTAAATGTACATTTTACTTTATTGAAACTCAGAAATTATCTTTGAGGCGTCTCCCTTTAAAACAATTTAGTAACAGATGATTTTATAATCATTATCCTCACACCATTTTCAAACCTCTCAAACTTTATATTTTCATACTAATAACAATATTGCACTTATTCAAGAATGTAAGGAATTAATTACTAACACTTTTTAAAATAGTACCAATTGTCAAAGTATTTGTCATGGTGAAGGGCAAGCTTCAATTCAAAATTTCAGAATGACACATTCCATGTTTGTACATAAAATTATCACATAAAACAAACAAAATTATGTCTAAGATGGCCTTAGATATTAAAAAATAAAAGATAGTTAATATATGAATTCATTCACTCATTTATAGGGTTTGAAAATTTAAATAGAAAATATATGTATCTAAATGGCTTATTTATCCTTCAAAGTAAGAAATAATGAATAAATACATTAGTTCATTTTTTTCACCAGAACTCTTCCAAGCACATAATGCATGGTCAAGATTATACTCAGGGTGAAATAAACCAGAAACTATGAAGAATTGTTAAACTAACATAAATAACTTCAGAGTAGAATAAATATGAAAAAGTAAATGCAGATCATAACAAACAAAGGTTAAAATGAGGAGGAACGTAAATGGAAGCTCTGAAGGGAAGAATTATTTTAGTTGCTTTGAAGGAGTTAACTACTATCAGTTGGGAGAGCAGGAAAATACCAGTATAAGGACATATGGGGAAAACAAAGGGTAGGAATGAGCAAGAAGTGTTATAAAGACAGCAGAGAGATTTCTCTAGTCAAGGGGTCCTATTTGGAGAATATGGAAAAATGACACATAACAAAGAGTGGACCAAGTAAACAAAGATGCTAAATGATAGACAGAAAAGACTTGATTTGATCTAATAAGGACCAGAAGTTACTCTTAAAAGTTTGTGTGTAGGTAGGTATTAGGATATAAATATCATTTGAGTATGAACATGGACTAAATTGGAAACTGGAAAGAGATATACTTGTAAAGACAATGATTATATAAATTGCAACCTGTTGCAAAGCAAGAATAAGTAGCACTGATTTTTAGTTAAAAGGGGAAAATTAAAAGAAAGAATATATGCATGTTTAACTCTAACAAAGAAAAAGCCAGATACGGATGACAGTTTGGGAATAAATGTAATAATTGTTATAATGTTGGGTTTTAGGCAAGTTTAGTTTTACAAATCCAAGATTTGAGTCTAGCAAAAAATGAAAAAAGAGTTGGAAAATTGTTGGGAAGTAATAGTTTATAGTCAGGAGGGTGTGTGCATCTCTTAGGGAGTGAATATAGAAGAAATCTGGACGCTCAAAACTGAGCCCTTAAAGTTCTTAAGAGATAAAGTTAGATGGCATCAGAAATCCCCCAAAGAATTCAGAACCAAGTAAAATGTGTATTCTTCACACATTTGTTTTGTCAAATGCTTTATTGAGCACTTACTTTTGCCAGGTTCAGTGCTGTTGCAAGAAAATGTAGAAATAGAGGAGTAAAGGAATCCCAATTGATTTGTAGTTTACTCAATTCCATCAAAATATTATTATTTGTCATTAACTAGTAAGTTTTCTCTGCATATTAAGGAGAAATTTGTTTTTTTATGACACTGATATTTGTTTCTTACAGAACTTATCTACAAAGAAGTAATGAATTCTGAAGAAAAGACTAAAAATGGTGTTGTAAAAGGACAACCTTCTCCTTCAGGTACTCACTCTCAGTGAATAACTAATAAACCACTACTTGTGTATTTTTTTTTTTTTTTTGGCCTTGAGGAGGGATTGCAGCCAATAACATTGCTAATAGAGCACATGACCTAATATCACATGATTATTTCTCTCTAGTGATTTTCATTCTATTCCTTTTGATATTTAGTGTGGTATTCTTTCTGATTATTCTGATTATGATGACCAGCACAATGGTTCTTTCAGAGTTATTTTAAGATAATAGTGAATCTTGAAGAAATGTTAATAAGAGCTTGTTAAAGGGTAACTGCTTCTCATCAAAACACAGCCATCATGCTCTCTGACCACCACGTCAATGTAGAGGTCAGGAATCCCTCCAGCCAAAACCTCTTTCCTCAGTCACTCCAGTGTTGGAACTCTTCCCAAGCTTGGTGTGACAGTAGTGAAAGCATCTGCTAAGATGGGTTCTGATTAAAGTCAGCATGGAAAATCTCTCAGTTTGCCATCTACAGAATCAAACACATATGTGTACATATACTGTACATCTTTTGCTGATCCTAGTAATGTGCTTTAGGATTACTTAAGATAATTTACTTACACTCAGTGCTAATATATGTTTCCTAAGACCTACGTTCTGAATGTAAAGAAAATCTATAAAGAGTTTTAGAAAATGTGATGGCTTATCTCTAGCTTTAAACTACACTCAACTCACGCTGGCAAGAATGTAGGCTGCAAATGATTAGTTGTTTAGAGGAAAATGAATTGGTGCCTCACCTTTGATAAACAGTTTTTTCCTCATGCACTTTAAATTGTTTCAGGAAGGGCACCTGGGTGGCTCAGTCGGTAAGCGTCTGCCTTTGGCTTGGGTCGTGATCCCAGGGTCCTGAGATCGAGCCCCATATCAGGTTCCCTGATCAGTGGAGAGCCTGCTTCTCCCTACCTCTGCCACTCCCCCTGCTTCTGCTTGCTCTCCCCCCGCCCTCTGCATCAAATAAATGAATAAAATATTTAAGGAAAGAAGGAAGGAAGGAAGGAAGGAAGGAAGGAAGGAAGGAAGGAAGGAAGGAAGGAAGGAAGGAAGAAATTGTAAACAAAAAATAAAAAAATAAAAAATAAAAAAATTGTTTCAGGAAAAAAGATGTAGGATGAATTAACCAATTCTCCATACTGATACTACTCTTTGAACAACTGGTTTGCACCCAAATCACTATGATGGCCAAACAGATACAATTCAGTTATAACATGTTTTTTTCTCATTCTAGTAATGTCCAGTTCTATCCCAAGTCTTTCCTTTCTTCAAAGGAAGACTCTGCTTATTCCTTCTGGCATCCAGATTGATACAGGTCTGTAGAAGTGTTCCCGAACTTACCTGCATGTTCTGTCTGCTGCTGATTAAGGAACCCAAAGACCAAATCTAACAGCCTCAAGATGCCACCTGCTAAAGCAGAAAGACTCCTTGTTTTAAGAATTTCCATAATGGCCAGAGCATGTTTTTCTATAATCATTAAGAAGTCAGAATACCAGGATCCAGTGAAGGTGACCTAGGAGCTCAGGGTAGGACTAGACCAAATTCTTTGCAGGGCCTCTTCTATTCATCTTTAATTCAAGGTATCATTTATTCATCTTCTTTCCTTTTTTCAAAGAGCTTGGGATCATGCCACCCACTTCAGTACATCCCATCTTCTGCTTGTTTCCTCTTCCATTTTCCCCTCAGCCCTAACCAGGTCTCCACAACAGTTCATCTGTGATGACATAAAATGCACAATTTTCCTTTCAACACTTTCACAACACTTCCACAAAAATCTTATTCTCATGACGCATTTTATGCCAACTGTACAGTTCAGGGAAGGCAAAAAGGGACTGAGGATGGTACAAGTGAGATTAATTAATCATTAAAGGGATAGGATGAGTGGTCTGCCATACAAAGAAACATTTAAATATCTGGTAAGGGAATGCAGTTTGTATATAATCAAGGCAAATTCTTTAATCACTAAAACCATAATTCATATGCAAGAAGGTGAGTACATGTAGAAGTTTCTTTTATCTCATTAATGAGGGAAATGCTAAATGGCAAAGGTAGTTCAATGAAGATATGAGAAATTAGGATTTATGTAGTCTGTGGGAAAAAAAGAATACTGAAATAAGATCACTAAATTAAACCAAAACTTGCAAATGTCCTATCTTTGTGGTCATCTTTTCTACCAGGCAGAAAAAAATGATACTTTATTAGTTTTATACAAGTTTCCAGTGTTGTAAAATATCTAGCTCCTAATCAATTATGAATATTAAGTCAAACAAAGTTATGTTCCACAAAACAGTCAGATGACCCTTACATGGGCTTTTTACAAAAGTTCAAGTGTCATATTAAAAGGTTGCATAGTCATTTTTTTCCCTAATCCCACGTGTTGGCTAATATTCTGAATAGTATCTAAAGTTACATATACGACTGTGTGCTCTGAATAGGCAGACCAAAGTCTTGACCAAGTAAACCCTTTAAGTTTGTAAGAAATACATTTAAGATGAATAAAACCAAAGCCTAGTTTATATAACAGTTTGCTATTTCTGGAGGGGATGGAAAATAAAGCCATTCCACTAAATTATTTAATAATAAATATAACCTAGTCTTAGAGAATGAGAATACTGGGCCAGAGTGTAGGAAATTGCTGCCAATTCAGATTCAATTTATTTAAAATCAAACGCATCACTCTATTTAGATTCAACCCCCCGCAAGAGTAAATTTTTCTCTCAATTTTCCCATTTCTACTAATGGCAGCTCTAGTTTCTCAGCCTCCCATTCTGAAACCCCTGACTGACCTTTTACTCCATACTTACATTATCATTGACAGTCATTTTCTACATCCTAAAAATTCTGCTTGCTCGATGTCTTACCTCTAATTTCTACCAACCCTTCTCATTAACACCACTGTGATTAAAGTTTTCCTGAAGTAATCTTCGTGACTTTAGTCCCTACCTAAATTAATCTTTCAAGACTATAGTTTTAAAAAAGCCACTGATAAGCACTCTCCAGTGGCTTTGCCTCACGTGCAGTTTAAGCCTACTAACCTTTTCCTGACATTGATGGCCCTGGTTTTTCCACCTTTCACATTATACCTATTGTAGAGTCCTATGTTACCACTATTTTACTTGATTGGACCCCTGCCTTTTAGAATGCTGCCCATTCTAAATTGTTCTCTTATCAAATAATACCATTTCCCCAAATATTTTTTGTATCTGTCCTAGAAGACTTTTCATATCTTCTCAAAGAATAAGATATTTCCTTCTTATGGGTCCTTCTAGTCCCTATATTTAATTTATTTTTTATTTCATTTTTTATTATGTTATGTTAATCACCATACATTACATCATTAGTGTTTGATGTAACACTGATCACAAACAATGATTCATTGTTTGCGTATAACACCCAGTGCTCCACGCAGAACGTGCCCTCTTTAATACCCATCACCAGGCTAACCCATCCCCCCACCCCCCTCCCCTCTAGAACCCTCAGTTTGTTTCTCAGAGTCCATATATTTTAAATAGTGTCTTATAACATCTTACTGATTGTAAATTCAATACAGAAGAAAGACTGTATTTATCCATCCTTGTGTACCATGCAGTGCGTAAGCGTTGTGCCTTGCATACAATAGTAGCTTGATAATTAATTTGAAAATTACTGCTCAGGTCCTCCCTTATCATGTTCTTTGGTGGTATTCCAAAGATGGAATTCAAGACAGGATCATAGCTTTAATACAGTATGCAATTCAGTATATTCTTATGCCAGGAAATATTTATTCACCCTATTAGTTGCCATAAAGAGACATGAGCCCAGTATTGAGTATATGCATTGCTGTTAATTGGTTTGGCATTTGCTCATGCTTCAGATAAAGGTTTGCTTTCAGATGGTTATTTGGTTATTTATTTATTCCTAAATTTTTTGTGGGCTTGTTTATTGTGTTAGTGATTACCATGCCACTGAATATATGCCATGTAGGCCCTACGTACATGTGAGAAGGCCGAGCCATTTTTTTTAACCATTTTAACTACCTGTAACAGTCATGAATTATCTATCTTGTCCACATGCCCTAAACTATAGTCGACTGGCTTAACCAATTTATAGTTAAAATGATGTGGATTCAATCTTCCACTACATGATTTTAAAGGAGAATATTCATGGCTTAATTTTGAGAAATCATATGTATACTATATATTATGCGATATAATTATGTATGATGTGTTTGTATGCATCATGTAGAAGCATAGGACAGCCCTGTGCCGGGGCTGACTACTAGCTCATGAGAGCCACTTGTCTATATCTCTCCCAACTGTGAGTTTCCTGACATTGTGTTAGTAGCTTGGAGTCCACCAGGCAAGATTTAAGATGTGGAAATTGGCTGACTTTACAAATCAGGGCAATTTTTTCTCCCTGGAAAGCCAATTGTTGAATTTTTATGGGCATGCCACTGTGTGTGTGTGCATGTGCGTGTGTGCGTGTGCATGTCTGTGCGCGTGTGTGCGTGCATGTGATAGGTATATATGCAGTAGACTGTGCTGAAAAAAAAGCAATTACTAAGAGAACTTGAAAAGTCAGCTTTTTGCATTCTCCATTGCATTCACCTTTTTTCATTACTGTTTGCATATCATATTTTATTTTATAAAGTGCTAGGATGAAGTAATATTACAGCATAAACTCCCTTACTATTAAGTCATGGCAATGCTGGGAACCTGACAGCAAGAGAATAGTTAATGCAGTTTCTTAGTGACAAAATTATTCTAATACCCAAACTCATGTTTTAGTGATACCTTTAAAATATAAATAGGAAGTTAAATGTGCATTTACAGAACAATATATAGGCTTGAAATTTATTGATGGAATTGTTTTATATCAATAAGAAATAAATCTAAACTTCAGATATGTTTCTAAATAAGTAATTGTACTCCCTTCTGCTATCTGATTTCACTTGCATAGTGATTTATTTTCAAGAATAACATGGCTGCTTGCTTTCTGAATTGATTTGTAAAGAC